TGATGGCCGGCCCAGGTCACACTAGTGTACTGATGCCCAACCTGCCAGCGCCAGAGCGATCTTCCACCTGCGGAGACGGAGAGGGAGCAAGCTCCCAAGCTAAAGGGGTACCGGGTGAAAGGGATTGAATTTTCGGTCAAGTGGCTGCTTTAGAATACCAATCCGCTTTGCCCATGCGAGCGTCACTCCTCCCTTGCTGTTGACCTACCAGTCCGCAAGATGGTTCGCAAACAAGTGTGGGATGAAGTCATATTTGCTGGCCTTGATCTCTGTTCCAAAAGCGGTCCCAACATGCTTGGCAAGAGCCGGCTCCACTTGGGCGATGTAGAATTGCCCCTGCAACCTCGCACGCACAAGGTTTTAGGGGCCCTTAAAGAAACGCACCTTTTTAGAAACCCAATAATGCTACCGAGGAACAAAACTCCAATCGTGCTTGGACTTTCTGCCCATGCGCAAACATTTGGCGGAGGCCGCAGGGTGAAGGACCTGAGTACACATTGGGCCATGGGTCACCAAGTGTTGAATTAATACCTCCAATTGATTCTCGATGGCCAAGCCACGTGATTTGGTCTAGATCCTCTGCATTCGGCAGAACCATGCGCTTGTCCAACTCTCGAAGTTGCCGGAGTTCCGAAACAATGTTCTTCCGGTTTGCCTGGCAGAAATAAAACGTGCTGCATGTGTTGAATACTTTGGTTCAGACTCACAACTGGCTGACCCGCCTCGACTCGTTCTCGCGTTTTCGACATGGGTTGGTCGTCCGGCTTGTTGTTTCTTTTCTTGCTGGCCAGCTGTGGGGTGTCACCGGTATGTTCGGCATCGTCGGCTGCAGCATGTTTCGGGGTGCTCGGCGCCGCCTAAGCGTCCAACTCAATCAAAACTGGCAAAAGCGAATAAGTTCCATAAATAGGCTAGGGCACCTTGGTCTCCGAATCAGCACGCTTTGCAGTGGTCCTCCTCGTTCGCGGGCGCTTTTTTTGTTGGGGTTCGGAATCCCTTTCAAGTTCTTCTCGAATCTCTTCATCCTCTGCCTCCAGCTCATCAGCCATCTCACTATCTTCATTGTCACCGTTGCCATCATCATCATCTTCACCCGGTAACTTCGACCCCGCAGCATGTGAATCATCAGCTTTGGCCTGAGCTTTTGCTTTTGCCTTGCTCTTACGCTTTGCTTTTGCTTTTGGTTTGGCCTTTGCTGCATCAGGGTTCTCCTCATCATAATCTCCCTCCCTCACAGCCTTGCGAACCCTCTTTTGGGCCTCAGGCATGCTATGATCAGCCCACAGTATTCACTCTTGGTTTCGCAGTCACAAACGCAAAAATGCATTTATTTGTAGCAAGTAGCTGCAAAAAGGGACTCTTTGTTGGCTTCCGTGTCATCCTCCATGTCGCAGCATATTTTTTCTGCCTGCTCCTCCAAGGTCTGCGGGATCTGGGGCAAGGCGATCAAGGGCTTATGATCCTGGAGAGGCTAGATTTAGGCAAACGAAACGGCAACGACAATGAAAGGCGAAACGGACAGAGACTTCGAACCATGATGCAAAGAAATGCAGTGGCAAGAAAATGCGAAATGGACACAGACTGTTACGCCTCTGCACTCCTTGAAGGTCCCTTTCTCAAGAGATTCCTTGGCTTCGGGTTCGGGTTCCTCGCAATTGTCCTTGCCAGCATCCAGAGTCAAAGAGTCATGCTGCTGCTGCTGCTGCTGCTGGCTGGGCGCTGGTTGAAGGGGTTCGGGCTGGCTAGTCTCTGGCGCTTGCTTCTCCAGTGAAGAGATTTGACTTTCGCTCGAAAGGTTCTGCGACGGCTGCTGGTCGTGGTGCTCCGTGGCTGGAGTAGTGGGGATGGCTGGGGCTATTGGGCTCTTTTCCATCTGGGCATTGTCTTCCGCCTTGTTGTCGGCATCGCTGCACACAGGCTGCTTGCGAACAGAGATGACGATTATATTGTCATCGTTGTCGGTGGCATCGCTTGATTCTGGAATTCCCGGGGACTCGAAGGAAGGTCCGTGTTGCAATTGTCCAGTTGGCGTTGCCAGGCCTGAGATCAAAGCACAACACATAGAACATTGTACACTCATGCACCACGATTTCCAATGACATGTTCAGGGTTGCATTGTATAATCAAGATACCTTGGGTCTGAGTTTCAGCTTGGTCCACAGGTGACCCCTTGTAGTTGTGCTTGTGCTGCTTTTGACTTGTTGGCGTAGCTCCCGGGTTGTTCGAATCTCCCAGACGGGCCCTGATCACCACAGATTTGAGCTTCTCCATTTTCTCAGCACCACACCTAGACCCATGAATGCAGAAACATATTCAAGATTCACTGGCCCCAAAGTGCAAACAGGACCCGCCTCGCACTGGCATTGCGACCAGTACGTCGAATGACATACGAGGCCATAGCTCGGTGCAGGTCGCCTTCGGTCTGACACCAATCCTCAGCAGACGGGACACACACCACAAACACAAAGCCAATTTACACATGATGTTGCCCCGTGGTTGCACAGTCAGCTAAAAAGCACGCGTGCAGCCAAACTGCTTTTAACTCCAGTTTGGTCGCATCCTTGCTCACCAGAAAATGGGACCGGGCAATGTCCAGCAACGCAGCCTGATCACGAGAATAACTAGCAGGGTTTCACTGAATGTATATCAAAAGACACCGGTTGATTCAGGAAAGGCACTGTTGCCTCTTTTGATGTTGGAAGGCTTGCGGCAAACATGGCCAAGTAATCCACCAAAAACTTGAAGTTGACATCCAGCTCCACCTACCAGGCCCAGAGACAAACCAATTCTGTAAAATCATGATAAGGCACCTTTCAAAATTCCAGGCCTCTGCAGCGCTCAATGTTGGACCTGTGAGATTCACGAAGCTGAAGGCGACAGGCACCTGCACAGATAGGGTACACCTAGCACGCGCTTGCAAACAAAACTCATGTGTGCCTTCCCTTGACGAAGTAGTTTTGCAAGGCGATCCCGTCCAATTCCGTTTGCACGGGCTAGCTCTGCAAGTCTTTGATCACGATAGCCCGTCTCTTGCAAAATTGATTCATACAGCTCCTGCACCGGGGTTGGAGCTGATTTGATGAAAGTGAAAGCCTGGTTGCTAACAAGCAGGTATGTCCTTCAACAGTTCTATTTTTTCTTGGCTGGGCTTCGATGTCGGCATAGCTTGCATGATGGATCCAAGGCTTGAGCAGCTGGTGAATCGAAGCACAAGCACGTGCCGACTTGCATTCTGCCAACTTCCGGGCAAAATGCATGCGTGACCGCAGGCGTTATAAAACATGCCAGGGGCGCCGCCAAGATCATACCGCCATGAATCTGGGTCCAAATTTCGGCAACCTGGGCAAGTGCGTTCTGAGGGCATCTTAGTTGCAGTACTCCCCCAAACATTCTAGATTAGGCCAGTCTAAGCTGCCAGGGTGCGCTTCTGCAAAGCTTTCTGCATTATCGCAGGGCCATGCCATATCACAGCTTTGCCATGGCATCACTGAAGGAGCACACTCTTTGATTCTGCCCAGTTCTGCTGGAAACTGAAAACGGTCCCCCATGTGGCCTTGTAGCGCTAGCTCTGTTGCCAAAAAATGTTGGTCCACACCTTTGAACCATGTCAGGTTGGGCGTTTGGAACTATGCTTACGAATGCTGAAATCATGCCGATTGGTGCCCCAAGTAAATTGAGGTCGTTCACGGTTTTTTAGGGTCGCCGCCAAAGACCTTAGTAAGCGAGGTCCTGGAAGACTAGGGTAGTAAGGAAGTACATTTTGGCAGCTCCGGCTCGGAAGTCGCAACTTTTCATTACGAGTGTTGAAAACGAAGTGCACACTGCTGCTCATTTACCAGCATAAAGGTAGTCCCGCACACAAAACCATGGTTTCTCGATGTGCCTCTTTGTTTAACCCATTCGTTTTCGGTAGTCAGTGAAACCCTTGTGCCCCCATCCGAGTGCTTACCATTCCATAGCATTCAGCATTCCATAACATTCAGCATTTCTATTCCAGAGTCTGCTCAGTGACGCACGGGAGCCAAAATGGCCATCAAGAACTTGCCTTAACTTTTTTGGGGGGGACCTTTGGGCGGGGACCTTAGGCCCTGGTGACTAAAGGATCCTAATCGGATCAAACCTACAGATTCCAAACCCAGCATGCCGGAAATGCTTCAAAGTGGTCTGAAAATTGTTTTGCGCACGCCCAATAACATTTGGAGCCATTCGGGGCCCTGAAAACCATTGTGCATAACACCGACCACTTTCCCTTTCGCTCGCCCTTACGCCCTCTTTCGCGACCACAGTGTGGCAACACTTTGTATATCCACTAGGTCTCCCGTACACAAAGCCTAGTTCCGTCTATTTAGATCGACTCCCAAGTGTTTGAAGATCTACCATCTGAAAAGTGCGCAAAGGGTTGATCTGCTACGTCTTTACTTTGCTCTGTCTTTGCGGTGCTATGTCTTTGCTTTGCTATGTGGCTGCTCTGCTATGTCATTGTGTTGCTATGCTTGGCTGTATAATTGCTTTGAAATGTCTTTGCTTTGTTATGTCTTTGCTTTGCTGCGCCTTTGCTTTGCTATCACTCTACTTGGATTTGTCCTTGCTTGGCTACCTCTTTCATTGGCAATGTCTTTGCTCGGCCATCTGTTTACTTTCTCATCTCTTGGCTTGTCTGGTTTGAGTCATCCGTAACTCGGAAGCTTCTCATCGAAACTTCCTTCGACAAGAAAGCCCTTCCGACATGTCGCAATGGTTCACATGCCGTACTTGACATGAGCAATCTTGCAGAACCCCGAGGCCCCCATGCAGTATGACGTGGGAGCTTGCCCCCTTAAGTAGAGTGAACATTCACCAAATGATGGAAACTGGGTGTTTTGCAGAATGGTGGAACCTGTTTTGGATCCTTTGGGTTGGTATTCAACAGGAAATCAACCGTTTTAGGGGACCCCTATTATTTCAAGATACCAGCTCAACCTGCAAGGGGGTCAGCACGGGTTCGACTCCAAATCGCCAGCCTTGTCTGTCGGAGTTGCCTGGGCTAGTTGGCTAGGGCCGCAAGTCTCAGAAATCCCAAAACCAAAGTTCTCTGAAACATGACAGCCTGGGGAGGTTTGACAGGGCTTGCTAAAACAAGAAGTAACTGTCACGTGAGAAATGGCGGGCCAGAAAAACCAATACTACCTTTTGGGACTCTGAAATCTGTACCGCCCATGCCCTCAGAGACACGAAAGCTAGTACAGTTCATGTTCATGCCACGCTCCGCAATACTGACATTCAACGCGCTAAGTAACCTCCGATGCTTACTTAGGGCTTCCATTGTGTGCTGCGTGTCTCATTGCCCCCGTCGGCCATCATCAAAAATTCCATCGCCAGAAACCTGGATGAGTGGGCGGTCTCTTCCATCGCCGGCAGCTTCCGCCGCCCTTTTCGACTCCCTCCTCCGCCGTGCCGTTCCAAGCGGCGCAGCGGGCGCTGCAGAGGCTGAGGCGCCACAAGTTCACCGCCGGCAGCTCTGCGCCGGGCAGCGCCACCGGGAACCTTCGGTCGCATGTCGCCCGGGGGTGGGAGAGGCAGAATATACCCAGGTGTTCTGGTGATGGTGCTGAGAAAATAACACGTGGACAGATTGATGGAAGGGAAGGTATCAAAAACATCGAAACTGCGAGATTGAGTGGGTTCCGAAAGGCCGGAAAAAGATCAAAAAACAGATTTAGCGAGTCAACTTCTTAGCAGCCTTTTCTGTTGACGGCCTTTTCGGTCGATGGCCTTTTTGCTAAGAAATTCAGGGTCTCAATTTCTTAGCGGCGCTGGCGCTACTGAAGTACTCGCTGCTTCAACTGGTCCCCTTGCGTCCCTGCCGACGTGCCTAACAAAAAGAGCAGCATGCTACATGGTGAATTGCTGACCAACCGATTTCTTATAAAGCGCTCGGGCTGTAGTTGTGCCGGAGGTGTTCATTTGGCGCGACCTGGGACACAAAAAAATATGATGGGAATCCCCCGACAAAAACCTTCCCAGTCAACATGGACTTGACAGGCCCCTGGATGAGATTAACATAAAACGAGAACCACAGCAGTTCCTTTTCTTGCCCCTTACATCTCGCCTCAGGTAGGACAAACTTGGCCCGTTTGTATTTTTGTCTGCCCTGGAACGTGATGAGAAACGAGGAGGGGCGCTCAGCGTCCCGGCCTAAAGCCGGGAACCGTCAGATCAAACGTACGTGGGTGTCGGAGTGTGCGCCAACCACGGCACAAGGAAAACCCCATGGTTGGTGTTCATTAAAATCCGGTTAAATCATGTCCAAACATTGGCGACGAGATTTGACGCTTGCGAGCAGCAAGTCATGATCCTGTAAATCGGCTGAAGTAAGACTGGTATCTGGAACATAGCGCCAAGCCCTGCTTTGAATTGAAGATTGCCTAGATTCAATAACAAGCAAAAAACACAGAAAACGTGAGTATGGCCAGCACGGACTTCCCCAAGATCCATAAACCGAGCCGCGTGAACATGTAGGTGCCGATGGCGACCTCCGGGTCCTGCATTCCCAGCCCTTCTGGGTGACTGAGAACACTGAACGAGAGAGGGAGAGAGGGAGGGAGGGAGGGAGGGAGGGAGGGAGAGAGAGAGAGAGAGAGAAATAGAGAGAGAGAGAGAGAGAGAAAGAGAGAGTCCTTTTTGCTCCAATCAACGGAAAAACCTTGGCCTCTACGCGTATGCAGTGCAAAGCCGGCTTGGTACGTCATCCTGTCACCAACCCAGCCAGACTCGCCTAAACCTGTCCAAAGAATTCTGACACCAAAGGTGAACCAACGCTCAATTCCCAAAATCCTTCCTGAAGAGGAGTGAACGGCCGCTGGCAAGCGGTGGGGAAAGTACAGGATGGCTGACACCCAGCCGGGAGCCCGGCTCTTTGCTCGGACTGGCAGAACTCATCTCCGCTGGGGAGAAAATGGCTCAGGGTGATAAAGAAAGCATGAGTCCGAATTGGCCCTGCATCTGTCCGCCTCAAAAAGAAATGCAACAAACGCACTTGCCATCAAAAAGAGACATCCAAAACTTATTCTCCACTCAATCTGAGTCATACCAATTTATTTGAGCCCGTATAAACTGGGCTGCCCTCAGATTCCCTGCTAAAAGTTTAACTTTCAGTGGGTTACATGGAAACCCCCACTAAACCAACTAAACAGCTAAAAAAAGCTAAGGGGATGGGAGCCAAGTAAACCGCCCAGTCCGGCCAAGCCGCCCGCCCGTTTTTTCTCGTCCAATACCCGCCGGTGGCCCGCCTGGGGCTCGAGGTTTACCACGATGCGGTGCCGGCTGGACACGTCCAGCCAGTCCTGGGCGCCCTGCAGCAACGGCAGCCTCGGAGCCCGCACGTGGGTGTGGGTCAAAATCGCAGGTTTTAGTCCATGTTGCCATTTACCAGGGCTCCATTTTGGGAACCTATTCTTGACCCACAGCCACGTGGATAATCCGGATTTTGTCAGCATTTACCTATGAGAATCCCACATCAAGGGTTCCGCAGATGCAGATGATTACTGGACTGTCGGCGAGGAGAAGGAACGTGTAATACGAGTACACAAGAAGCCAAGATATGGTCTTTTTTTGGATGGCACCAACGGTCCCGGATTTTGTCGGCAATTTTCCAACGGGATCCACCAATCCCGACTAGCATTTTGACACATTTTGTGCACTGGGACCCCCCTTGCTGGCTCGGGAATGGGCATGAGCCAATGGATCCAAGGAAACGTCGGGGGAAACATCATTGCGAATCTTGACCCGTCATGAGGGCCCACAAGGAAGGAATCTTCATGGGTGAAAAGCCCGAGATGGCCTTGTTCTCTACAAATGAACATGGAACCCAACAAGGAGTTGTTTCAAATGGAGTGTATGTTGTAAAAACTTGACCAAGCAACTGCGCAATCTTCCCGTTGGGCTCTTTTTTTATCATGGTTTAGCAAAGGAGTAATGGGCTTCTCAACATGGCGCACCAACTTGTGGCGGCCTTGAAAAACAACCAAGCAGAACACCCACCTGCTTTTTGTTTGTTGGTTATTTGTTCTTTTCTCTCTCTTTTTTTTTGGGGGGGGGTTCATTCTGGAGAGACATCCGGCGCCCTCCGGCGCCGTCAACCTCCACATCCGCGCCTGGGGTTGGAGACCTTGAACTCCGCCGCGCTCCGCACCCGGTGCCTTCTTGCGCGACCGTTGCGACCGGGGCTCGCTGTCTGTGCACCCGGTCGCGTCGGGCGTGTCTTGCTGGTTCTCAGGGAACATTCCCAAAACCATGCTTGAAGGGGCGACCGGGTGCTTAGTAAGCGGTTAGTAAGCTTGGTTATAACGTGATATCTTAGGAGACTTATAATTATGGTAAGTGGGTTTCACCAAGCTTACTAACCACTTCCTAAGTACAATGCCCTAAGATATCTCAAGCAGTTCTTCTCCATGTCTCCTCTTTCTAACATGTGCTGTTTGGCACCCAAGCCATTGTTCACCTGCTGTGGGATGCCACTAAACTACTCGCAAAGGACCTGGGAAAAGAAGGTGATCACCATTTGGGTGGCCATCACTAAACTGCTTGGCAAGTACCAATGGCAACTAGAAAATATACGGGATCATGGTTGGCGCTTCCATGGCTAAACAGGGGATCAAACTGATTGAGACAATGCTGTTGTTCGGCCCCATGACTGCTATCACGTTGAACGGGGTTCCAGAGAAAGTGGAAAGTTGAAACCCCCCCAGGCTTCCGCGACCATGATCCTGAAAAGGCAGTACTGGCTGAACCCGCTACTGGTTGCCTTTTTGAGATCAACGGTTGCTCCCAATATCATCCCCAACCTGGACGTAAGGGGAAGTGAGCTCGTTGTCTGTTGGCCCGCTTGCCCGCCAAAGACGGGCCACGATGGCGAAGGGCCGAGGGGCTGAAAGAAGTCTGGCAGGCTGATCAGCAGCGCCCTTAGCTGCTGGGAGGCCTCTTGCACCGCGAAGGATACCGTGACCTGCGGTGAAAGGAGCGGGAGCCTGGCACCAAAAACCAGAGACTAGGGGGGTCACAACACTCCATGTTCTTGGGGCCAAGTGGCCTCATTGGATGCCAAATGGGGAATCTCCAAGACGAGAGCAGGAAGCCGAAGGCCAAGCATCTGGGAACTGCCGCTCACTTCTGTGATAGCTGGAAATCGGCCTTGATGACCAGTCCTTCACAAGAAAAGCTACGGTTGTCTGGCATCCAAGAAGTTGGATACATCCTCATTGCCACGTCTCTTTTTGCAAGGGCTTTTTGAGAAAGTGGGAGAAACGTTTGCCCAGAGGCTCCCGATCCCCACCCGCTAAGACGGAACCTGGCTGAGGGTGCCTGGAAAACATGTTTCCTCGCTTGTTGGTTTGTTCCACGTTGTCCCACCAACGGTTGGTAAAGTTCCATTTCGTCCTTCCAAATGGATTTCGTCCTTCTCCGTCGATGGGCCGTTTGTCTCTCACCCATCTTGGGTCATCGGTCGTTGCCTTGGAGATCTCGGCGGCAGATGCGGTGGACCAGGCGAGCAGCGGCTGGGAGATCTGGAGGTCCAGCGTGGGCCACCTGAGCACGGGAAAAGCGGCGCCTATACATATAGGTGTATGTATATATATATATATACACTCATATATTATCTTTACCAAAAAAACACATATTTACATATACGTGTGCGTGCCTGAATATGTATGTATGTCTCTCTCCCTCTCTCTTTCTCTCCCTCTCTCTCCCTCTCTCTCTCTCTCACTCTCTCTCTCTCTCTCTCTCTCTCTCTCTCTCTCTCTCTCTCTCTCTGAGGCACCATCGGTAAGCCATCCAACATGTACGGTGTATGTATATATATATATATACATATCTATGTGTATAATTCTATATTGCATAACTGTATGTAGAGATGGATGCTAGGTATAAAAAAAGACTGGGTGTCTTGCCCTGAGCGATCACCTCTTGTAGGCTTAACGGAAAAGCCAGTTGTTTACGGCAAAAATCAATCGATGAGCGTATACGTAGCCACTCAAGCACGCACGCATGCAAGCATACGTATGTCTTTGCACTACAGTATTTAATATATATATATATATACATATATATATATTATACATCTTACACATGATGTGCACACACACACACACGCTACAGGAAATCCATCCAAAACAAGGACATCTGGCACATGCCGCTATCTCCCCCAACCACTGCAAGCCCAGCCACCCGGGCAGGCCGAAGGCTGCATCCACCACGTGCTCCGTGGGCTGCCGCTTCAACAGCACGGAGAAGGAGTTCCTTGGAATGATACATCCGGCTAGTTCTCAGCAGAACATTGTTGTCTTTTTGAGCGCGCCCTTTTTAGGGTGTTTTCACGGGACACCACCAGGAAACCACTTGTTTTGGAGGGTCTATGTAAACCCTTAAAAAAAGGCAATCCGAATCCTTGTGATTCCTTACTGAGACCAGCAAGAAATGGGTCTGTGTTTTTTAAGGGTGCCGTTTTCACGTTGGCTCAAAGGGAAAGAGCTCGGGTCTCGAGAGGCCAAGGCTCTCCACTGGGGTTTGTGCCGGCAAATCGCCCTGGACGGTGAAGGCGTAGGTGCCTGGCCCGCCACCAGGTAAAATGAGGGGAACAGGGGCTCCTGTCAAAAGGTAACCTGCACATGGCGCCTGGCGCCCTTGCCCTCCGAAGCGAGATACTGTACATGCGCTGGCAGGCTTGGTTGCCATTGATGCCAACGACAGCCCCACTGAATCACGCAGTCAGCTGAGCCCTGAAAACACAGCTTGGAACCGCCCAGAGCACTTCCCGAAGGCACAGCAACCTTGTAATTGTCGTCCCCACCACAACCCCTCGGCACTGGGTCCTTTTTGGTTGTACGCATTCTGGGCGTGTGTTTTGGGGAATCCAAATCTTAAACAAGCCCATCAAAAGTACGAGCCAAACTCACTTGTCTCAACCCGTCAACCCTCTATTAAACGTTGAGCCTTTGGAAGCCTGAAGCCTAGGTTGTCCGCCCTCCTGGGGCTTCCCTCCTTAGCCACGGAATAATGTCGACCCAACCTGGTAGCTTTTTAGACGTGTATCCCCAAGAAGTACGTGGCCACCTCCCAAAATTGCAAAGCAAAGTCCTTCCACCCCACCACCTTACTTCTCCACCAGGGGCTTCTTTTGGGGCACCCCGTTCAACTTGGCTGCTCGAACCGGCCTGGGCTGAGCCCCGTTCCCAGCTCCAGCCGCAGAAACCCGGGGCCCTGCTGCGCGCAGAGCGGGCCAGGCAGCGCCAGGCCGCGCAGCGCGGCGCCAGCGCCTAAGAAAAAAGCTTCCGCTCGTCTCAAAAAGGCCCTCAAAAAGGCCCAGAGAGACCAAAAGAACACCACCATTTTGCCAGGGGATCCCGTACTGACAAACAATTCTCGGTTGCTTTCTGCTCTCCTGCAAAAAATTGAGAACTTTGAGTGGTTTAATGGAAAACCCATTAGTTGGCAAAAAGGTAAGGTCCTAACATCCAAGCAAAATGCAACAACCATGCTGTGGATGGACGACATCGATTTCGCACCGTTCAGAAACCCTAGTTTCTGATGATTCCCCAGCGTAACAAACAATGGTTTCAACCAGGGCTTCAAAGTGGTGCAGGATTCTGTCCATCCGCAGTAGGTGTCCTTTTGGTAAAATAGATGGCCCGGTACCCTCCCCACCGATTAACATGGAACCTGACAGGGGGGGTCCTAACAACTATGTTCAACCAAACTGGACGCCTATGCCCACAACGGTTTCAACAACAAAGCTCCCACAAGCGAACATTGGGTAGAAGCTTACAGCGCACCCACGTGAGCCATGGCCAAACTTTGTTTTTCCCTCCGAAATAAATAAAAACAAACATAATTACCAATATTTGTTTGATTGCAACCAACCCTCACATGAGTGCTTCTGAAAATGGTTGACCCGCTTTTGGTTGGTGCACAATAAAACCCGGGGGCCAACTGGAAACCAGTCATTTTAGGGAACCGGGATTTTGAGAAACCCCCACATCTTCAACCCCAGGGCTAGGCACAATCCAAGGACAGCTCTGCTGGGCCGTTCACCTCAATAATGCGGAGCATCTCCTGGCTCCCATTCGACCGAATCGATCGGAAGGCAAGAAAGTTGGCCCCTAGATATGGAAAACCAAAACGCCCGATTTCGGTTGCCTACCTTTGTTGTTTGGCAATTGTTTTCATGTTACCTTTCTGAATGGTAGAAAGCGGGGAACCAAATCTGATGGTTTGCGGGCCAACTTGAGACTCCTCACTGCAGGCAAAGACATATGACTGTGCTTTGGAGCAAACACCAGATTCAAAGATTATATATATGGGTTTGTATTTTTTTAGGGCGGCCGGGCAGGAAGGTTTGAGTACGGGGTATGATTCGCAGGTATGATTCGCGGGTATGATTCGGGGTATGATTCGGGGGTATGATTCGGGGGTATGATTCGCGGAAGCAGCAGCAGCAGCAGTAGTAGTAGTAGCAGTAGTCGCCGAAGTAGTAGTAGTAGTAGTAGTAGTAGTAGTAGTAGTAGTAGTAGTAGTAGTAGTAGTAGTAGTAGTAGTAGTAACAATACTAGTAGTAGTAGTAGTAGTAGTAGTCGTAGTAGTTAGTAGTAGTAGTAGTAGTAGTAGTAGTAGTAGTAGTAGTAGTAGTAGTAGTAGTAGTAGTAGTAGTAGTAGTAGTAGTAGTAGTAATAGTAGTAGTAGTTGTTGTTGTTGTTGTTGTTGTTGTTGCAGTAGTAGTAGTAGCAGTAGTAGGAGTAGTAGTAAATAGTAGTAGCAGTAGTCCTAGTAGTAGTAGTAGTAGTAGTAGTAGTAGTAGTAGTAGTAGTAGTAGTAGTAGTAGTAGTACTAGTAGTCGTGGTAGTAGTAGTAGTAGTAGTGGTAGTAGTAGTAGTGGTAGTAGTAGTAACAGTAGAAGCAGCGACGTAGCAGTGCATTGGGAAATGGGGTCTGAAATTCGCCACACGCTTCTAAGCTTCTAAGCCTCTAAGCCCCTTGAAGCACACAAGCCTCCAAGCCTCTAAGCCTCTAAGCTTGTAAGCCTTTGCAGTCCTTGCGCCTCTAGGCCTGCGCGCTCCTAAGCCTCTAAGCCTCTAAGCCTCCAAGCCTTCCAGCCTCCACGCCTCTAAGCCTCTAAGCCTCTAAGCCTCCAAGCCTTCCAGCCTCCACGCCCCTAAGCCTCTAAGCCTCTAAGCTCCAAGCCTTCCAGCCTCCACGCCCCTAAGCCCCTAAGCCTCTAAGCCTCTAAGCCTCCAAACGCTTAGAGGCTTAGGCGCTTATAGCTCAGGCGCTCAGAGGCTCAGAGGCTTTGGCGCTTAGCGGCTTCGGCGCTCAGCGGCTTCGGCGCCTAGCAGCTTCGGCGCTTTGCGGCTTAGGCGCTTAGAGGCTTAGGCGCTTGGAGGCAAAGGCGCTAGAGGCTTAGGCGCTTAGAGGCTTAGGCGCTTAGCGCTTAGGCGCTTAGGCGCTTAGAGGCTTAGGCGCTTAGAGGCTTAGGCGCTTAGAGGCTTAGGCGCTAGAGGCTTTGGCGCTTAGCGGCTTCGGCGCTCAGCGGCTTCGGCGCCTAGCAGCTTCGGCGCTTTGCGACTTAGGCGCTTAGAGGCTTAGGCGCTTGGAGGCAAAGGCGCTAGAGGCTTAGGCGCTTAGAGGCTTAGGCGCTTAGCGCTTAGGCGCTTAGAGGCTTAGGCGCTTAGAGGCTTAGGCGCTCGAGGGCTTTGCGATTTACTTCGGCGCTCAGCTGCATTCGGCGCCTAGCCATCGGCGCTTACGGCTGAAGGCAAAGGCGCTTCGAGCTTAGTTTAAGCGGGAATCCACCGGATTTCCGTCTAATCTCCCTCCAGCACCTCTAAGCCTCTAAGCCCTGTAAGTCTTCCAGCCGCCACGCCCCTAAGCCTCTAAGTCTCCAAGTCTGTAAGCTTCTAAGCATTTCAGCCTCTGACCAAAGCCTTTAAACCTCTAGGTCTGTAAGCCTGCACGCTCCAAAGCCTCTAAGCCTCTAAGCCTTTAAGCCTCTAATTAAGCCATCCAGCCTCCACGCTCCTGAGCCTCTAAGCCTCTAAGTCTTCCAGCCGCCACGCCCCTAAGCCTCTAAGTCTCCAAGCCTGTCAGCTTCTAAGCCTTTCAGCCGCTGAGCCTGCACGCCCCAAAGCCTTTAAACCTCTATGTCCGTAAGCCTGCACGCTCCTAAGCCTCTAAGCCTCTAAGCCTTTAAGCCTCTAAGTCTTCCAGCCACCACGCCCCTAAGCCTCTAAGTCTCCAAGCCTGTCAGCTTCTAAGCCTTTCAGCCGCTGAGCCTGCACGCCCCAAAGCCTTTAAACCTCAAGGTCTTGTAAGCCTGCAACCTCCTAAGCCTCTAAGCCTCTAAGCCACTGTAAGCTACTAAGCCTTTCAAGCCCCTGACCTGCACTGCCCCCAAGCCTTTTTCACCTCCTAGGATCCGTAGCCAGCAGCTCCTAAGCTCTAAGCCTCTAAGCCTCCTAATCCTCTAATTAAGAGCCTCCAGCCTCCACCTCCTAAGCCTCTAAGCCTCTAAGTCTTCCAGAAGCCTCTAAGTCTCCAAGCCTGTCAGCTTCTAAGCCTTTCAGCCGCTGAGCCTGCACGCCCCAAAGCCTTTAAACCTCTAGGTCCGTAAGCCTGCGCGCTCCTAAGCCTCTAAGCCTCCAAGCCTCTAAGTCTTCCAGCCGCCACGCCCCTAAGCCTCTAAGTCTCCAAGCCTGTCAGCTTCTAAGCCCCAAAGCCTTTAAACCTCTAGGTCTGTAAGCCTGCACGCTCCTAAAGCCTCTAAGCCTCTAAGCCCTGTAAGCTTCTAAGCCTTTCAGCCACTGAGCCTGCACGCCCCAAAGCCTTTCAACCTCTAGGTCCGTAAGCCTGCACGCTCCTAAGCCTCTAAGCCTCTAAGCCTCTAAGCCTCTAATTAAGCCATCCAGCCTCCACGCTCCTAAACCTCTAAGCCTCTAAGCCTTCCAGCCGCCACGCCCCTAAGCCTCTAAGTCTCCAAGCCTGTCAGCTTCTAAGCCTCTTAGCCGCTGAGCCTGCACGCCCCAAAGCCTTTAAACCTCTAGGTCCGTAAGCCTGCGCGCTCCTAAGCCTCTAGGCCTCTAAGCCTCTAAGTCTTCCAGCCGCCACGCCCCTTTAGAGGCTTAGGAGCGTGCAGGTTTACGGACCTAGAGGTTTAAAGGCTTTGGGGCGTGCAGGGTCAGCGGCTGAAAGGCTTAGAAGCTGACAGACTTGGAGACTTAGAGGCTTAAGCCTCCAAGCCCTGTAAGCTTCTAAGCCTTTCAGCCACTGAGCCTGCACACCCCAAAGCCTTTAAGTCTTCCAGCCGCCACGCCCCTAAGCCTCTAAGTCTCCAAGTCTGTAAGCTTCTAAGCCCTTCAGCCTCTGAGCCTGCACGCCCCAAAGCCTTTAAACCTCTAGGTCTGTAAGCCTGCACGCTCCTATGCCTCTAAGCCTCTAAGCCTCTAAGCCTCTTATGAAGCCATCCAGCCTCCACGCTCCTAAGCCTCTAAGCCTCTAAGTCTTCCAGCCGCCACGCCCCTAAGCCTCTAAGCCTTTCAGCCGCTGAGCCTGCACGCCCCAAAGCCTTTAAACCTCTAGGTCCGCAAGCCTGCACGCTCCTAAGCCTCTGAGCCTCTAAGTCTTCCAGCCGCCACGCCCCTAAGCCTCTAAGTCTCCAAGCCTGTCAGCTTTCAGCCGCTGAGCCTGCACGCCCCAAAGCCTTTAACCTCTAGGTCCGTAAGCCTGCACGCTCCTAAGCCTCTCAGCCTCTAAGCCTCTAAGCCTCTAATTAAGCCATCCAGCCTCCACGCTCCTAAGCCTCTAAGCTTCTAAGCCTTTCCAGCCGCCACCGCCCCTAAGCCTCTAAGCATCCAAGCCTTCCAAGCTTCTAACCTTCTGCCGCTGTAGCCTGCACGCCCCAAAGCCTTTAAACCTCTAGTCCGTAGCCTGCACGCTCCTAGCCTCTAAGCCTCTAAAGCCTTCAAAAGCCTCTAAGCCTCTAAGCTCTAATTCAGCCATCCAGAAGCATGCACCCCTCAGCCACGTAAGCCTTCTAAGCCTATAAGTCTTCCAGCCGCCACGACCCTTAAATCCTCTAAGTACTTCCAAGCCAGTAAGCTTCCTCAGCTTCAGCCTCGTGAGCTGCCCGGCACCCAAAGCTTTAAACCTCTAGTCCGTGAAACCTGTCACGCTCCTAAGCCTCTAAGCCTCTAAGCCCTGTAAGCTTCTAAGCCATCCAGCCTCCACGCTCCTAAGCCTCTAAGCCTCTAAGTCTTCCAGCCGCCACGCCCCTAAGCCTCTAAGCCTGTAAGCTTCTAAGCCTTTCAGCCTCTGAGGCTGCCCGCCCCAAAGCCTTTAAACCTCTAGGTCCGTAAGCCTGCACGCTCCTATGCCTCTAAGCCTCTAAGCCTCTAAGCCTCTAAGCCTCTCACTAAGCCATCCAGCCTCCACGCTCCTAAGCCTCTAAGCCTCTAAGTCTTCCAGCCGCCACGCCCCTAAGCCTGTAAGCTTCTAAGCCTTTCAGCCGCTGAGCCTGCACGCCCCAAAGCCTTTAAACCTCTAGGTCCGTAAGCCTGCACGCTCCTAAGCCTCTAAGCCTCTAAGCCTCTAATTAAGCCATCCAGCCTCCACGCTCCTAAGCCTCTAAGCCTCTAAGTCTTCCAGCCGCCACGCCCCTAAGCCTCTAAGCCTGTAAGCTTCTAAGCCTTTCAGCCGCTGAGCCTGCACGCCCCAAAGCCTTTAAACCTCTAGGTCCGTAAGCCTGCGCGCTCCTAAGCCTCTAAGCCTCTAAGCCTCTAAGTCTTCCAGCCGCCACGCCCCTACGCCTCGAAGTCTCCAAGTCTGTAAGCTTCTAAGCCTTTCAGCCTCTGAGCCTGCACGCCCCAATGCCCAAAGCCTTTAAACCTCTAGGTCCGTAAGCCTGCACGCTCCTAAGCCTCTAAGCCTCTAAGCCTCTAAGCCTCTAATTAAGCCATCCAGCCTCCACGCTCCTAAGCCTCTAAGCCTCTAAGTCTTTCCAGCCGCACGTGCCCCTAAGCTCTAAGTCTCAAGCCCTGTACAGCTTCCAAAGCCTTCAGACCGCT